TTTTTTTCTTTTTTTTTTTCTTTTAATATGGTCGATATCTCGATTGAAGCGTGTCATCGTCGTGCAGGGGCCTTGTTAATCTTCTCTGTATCGTTCCAATTTTAATTTTGAACGGAAGTCTCAAAGGACCCCCCCGCCCCCCTCTCTCTCTCTCTCTCTCTCTTTTCGTTGGACAAGTGTCTCTCTCTCTCTCTCTCTCTCTCTCTCTCTCTCTCTCTCTCTCTCTCTCTTTTCGTTGGACAAGTGTAACGTTGTTTTTCTTCTGCCTTTTCAATTATGGGCCTGCCGTTGCTGGCAGTACTTCGATTGGGTGCTTTCATCGAAGGCAGTGTTTAGACTGGGCTTGGGGGGCGGGGGCGCAGGGAGGAGGGTTTGAGGGGCGGATGCTGTTTTCTTTGAAAAGTGTTGAAGAGGGGCTGACGCCTGGGCTGTTTGTGGATTGTGTGTGCGCAGGTGAAGCTGTCTATGGCGCTGGCGAAGCAGATCTTGCAGTCGTGTGTTCCAATGTGTGTGTGTGTGTGTGTGTGTGTGTGTGTGTGTGTGTGTGTGTGTGTGTGTGTGTAGCATGTGTTTATGTGTGTGTGTGTGTGTGTGTGTGTGTGTGTGTGTGTGTGTGTGTGTGTGTGTTCCAATGCAACATAAAAAAAAATAAAAATGATGTGCGCACCTGGCGCATATGCGGCCCGCCAGCGCGCACCCCCCAGCACACCCGCGCGGGCGCACCGGCCCTGTGCACAGCGCATCACGCAGCCAGGTGTGCGGCGCGCGCCGGTGCACGCACACCTTGGGTCCGTGCACCGCGCGCTGCGCAGCACACAGGGCAGATGCGCCGCAAGTATGCTTTTTCCGCTTGTCAGGTTCACTCAGGATGCGCCGCAAGTATGCTTTTTCCGCTTGTCAGGTTCACTCAGGGGGAATCCGCCAGGCTCAGATGTACTGGTACTTCAATAGATCCAATCTGATCCGGATGCACCGAGAAAGAAATAACGCACTGCATTCTATAATGCCAGGACTTCGGACACAACTTCATGGAACACCATGGTATGGCCCGTATGGGTAATGGGTCTGTAGTTCGTTACCTGCGTCTTAGAACCCCTTTTGTGCACTAATGTCCCAACCCCTTAAAGAGCAGACGACCTCCTATGCTGTGCCCTGTAGCCGTAGAGAGAGTTTTGATCTGCTTCGGGTGAGAGAGAGATTCAAATTTCGAACTTTCCAACAGGACGGAAGAGGGAATCTCTGTCCCTGTGAGGCATTGATTGCGGAAGGATTAACCCATCTAAAAGGGACAGTGAAGCCAATTTTCAGCTATACAAAAACAACTTTAAGACGAAGTCAAAAAAAAAACTAAGACTACCAGTGCAATGACCCAAGAGCATTGCATTTCTTGTCCACTCTTTATTAAGTTTTTAGAAGTTCTTTTTTTTTTTTTTTTTTTTTTAAGCTGGGTCATTGCACCAGAGGTCTTTTTAACTTTGTCTACTTTTTAAAAGTTATTTTGCCGTTGGCAATTCATTTAGCCGCTATACCTTCTTGTTACCTAGGCTACCAGCCGAACAAAAAAAACAATCCAAAAAATCTGGAAAAATATTATGTTATGCAGAAAAATAAACTGAACGTTCAGGACGGGCCGAACACCCGAACCCGAACACCTGAACGTTCGGGACACCAGGCCGAACGCGGACCCCTGAAACGGTATTTACCAGTTCGAAGTAGCTGATGTAGGACCCAGGGTTCGATCCCTAGTTCCCCAACTTACCTGTGTACAATACCTGTGACAACTTGAAGAATTGAACCTGCGACCTGTAGAA